CATAGATAAAGAAATAAATATGGAATATATATGATTTTTTTTCTAATAATACGTTGTCCATAATGGACTATATATAAAGAAAACAACAATTTCGATTACCAGTAACAAGATTGGGGCCTAACCATTTAAGATTGCAAATCATTGCTTTTTAGATGTCCATATGTCCATATATATGATTTGCGACCCCCTGGTGCTACTGAAGATAATATTTCACGAACACAGACATGCGCATTGTATTAAACGGACAAAGAGTACTGGTACTATTCGTCCAGCTAGCCAGACAAGTAGCAACTGCCTTAAAAAAAGGCGCGGACTTCGCACCTATTGCCGTTGGTAATGCGTGCGTCACACAGCCCCAAAAAAGAACACATGATAGAGAAAATATTCAAATTTGGGTTTTATCGTAAAAAAATCGGACCATTCGTGGGGCATCTTAAGCCATGGTATGACAACAATTTGAATTTTTCAGGCTCCGGCAGTAGCTTTGTGAGCGGTGGCAAAATCATTGGCATGCAAAAAAAAATTCCGAAAGACCTTGCGATGATTCATTTTCGAGTTGAATTCGTATGTCCATGTTGCCTTTCATAAGGTCATCGTTGGGGAATCATGTCAACTCATGTCATCTTCGTCTCTACTACGTGTGATCATCGGTGCCATCGAGCATTATTTCGCCTCACGAAGACAATTCAAAGGAAACAAGACGCTGCCCGATTGTCTTAGGAATGCAGTACGATTACATAAAGACCTTGCAATGCCGTCATGTAGTCATTGTATTATAGTACTATGACATCGAGATAGGAACAAGGAAGACAGTCGGGTTTAAGTAGCTTAATTTCAAAAGTGTTAATCTTTGCTGCTTATCAATCGATGTTTTGTATTTTTTTTCCGGAACTTCTTTGATCTATTTTCAACAGCGTAATAACGTACATGTGTATTTGATTTTAACGAAAGCAATCTCTGTATTACTGAAAAATTATTACACCAGGGTTTTCTGTATCACAAACTAGTCATAACATTTACTTAATTTTATCATCGGTACAAGGACGTCATTCGTAAATATAAATCAACACGCAGACATGTTATAAGTTCAGTTATTTCACATCCAATCTTATACGGTAATATTCTATACAAAGCACAAAAATGTCGGCATTTACCTCAAAAGCTAACCAAACATTTGAACAGACTTATTCAAGGGATATAGTCACGATACTGTTGTCAGGTAATGAAAGACGGCATATTTTGTTATAAATATTGATTCACTCATAGGGTCTTTGCTTTGAAAATAAACAAATTTATTCTAAAACAAGTTGTATGCATGAAACGGGTTATGTTCTTCTCGTATATTTTATGATGATATGGTACTAAACCCCTAATGGGAGAGATTGTGCTTGATTTTCATATGATGAAGACATTATCTTTCAATCAGATTAATTTAGGTCTGGAGCGGGCATGTCAGTAACTGCTAGTAGACCGTTGTTAATTTATGTAACATTGTCATTTTGTTTAGTTTCTTTTATAATTTATTCAGACATCGGACTCTCTGTTTTACTGTGCACGTTGTTGTGTGTTTGTATATTCTACATTGGTAAGAGGTATAGGATGATGGTTTAGATCTCACAAAACATATTTTACTCCTGTCCCAAGCCAGGAGCCTCTGGCTTTTGTTAGTCGTGTTTGTTTGGTTTTTTTTAAGAATTTTAATTCATTTATATTTTGGATTTTAGTGTGACGTCCATTTTTACTAAACAAGTACACATTTTTTTATGGTGCCAGCTGAAGCCCACCTCCGGGTGCTGGATTTTCTCGCAGTGTTGAAGACCCATTGGTGGCCTTGAGCTGTTTTCTGCTCTTTGATCGGGTTGTTGTCTCTTTTACACATTCCCCATTTTCATTTTCAATGTTATTTACGGATATTTGGCATGTTCCACACACATGTAGGTATACAGTCGTGTGTTCTGCGGGTAAACTACTTAATAAAAAATCACATCTTTTTTGGTCATTATCGTACTTTTCAGTATACTACTCATGTTCGGAATTACTTGATACCACACACAGTGCACACGTATACATCATTAACAAGGTCTTCGAGATATTTTACTTAAAAAGGAAAAACAAAAAAGGAACAGTGAAACATTTTAAAATAGTGTCGACAATTTGAAAATTTAAAACACCTTTATTGAAACAAATTTCATTTCGTTCTACTAATCAAAAATTAAAAGAATGATGCAGATTGGATCATTGTTCAAATTTTGATATTGCAAAGTAAAATGAACAATGCTCTACCTTAGAGCATTTTTCATTTTCCAATATTAAAAGTCAAATTGAAAAATGCTCTATGTTGGAGCATTTTTCATTTTTCAATATCAAAAGTCAAATTGAAAAATGCTCCACTTTGGAGCATTTTTCAATTTTCAATATTTAAAGTCAAAATGAAAAAAATGCTCCACGCTCCGGATGCTGGATTTTCTCGCAGTGTTGAAGACCCATAGGTGGTCTTGAGCTGTTTTCTGCTCTTTGATCGGGTTGTTGTCTCTTTTACACATTCCTCATTTTCATTTTCAATGTTATTTACGGATATTTGGCATGTTCCACACACATGTAGGTATACAGTCGTGTGTTCTGCGGGTAAACTACTTAATAAAAAATCTTTTTTGGTCATTATCGTACTTTTCAGTATACTACTCATGTTCGGAATTACTTGATACCACACACAATCACACGTATAGATCATTAACAAGGTCTTCGAGATATTTTACTTTAAAAGGAAAAACAAAAAAGGAACAGTGAAACATTTTAAAATAGTGTCGACAATTTGAAAATTTAAAACACCTTTATTGAAACAAATTTCATTTCGTTCTACTAATAAAAAATTAAAAGAATGATGCAGATTGGATCATTGTTCAAATTTTAATATTGCAAAGTAAAATGAAAAATGCTCTACCTTAGAGCATTTTTCATTTTCCAATATTAAAAGTCAAATTGAAAAATGCTCTATATTGGAGCATTTTTCATTTTTCAATATCAAAAGTCAAATTGAAAAATGCTCCACGTTGGAACATTTTTCAATTTTCAATATTTAAAGTCAAAATGAAAAAATGCTCCACGTTAGAGCATTTTCATTTTTCAATATTTAAAATCAAATTGAAAAATGCTTAAGGTCAGCAATTTTGATTTTTGCTTTTTAGAATGAGATTGAAATATGATTTCTTTTCTAAAACAAGCAAATGCAAATGTTTTAATTTATTCAAACTGTTGATAAATTAATTCATTTTTAACACAAGCTTATTATTATCTTTTTTAATATCTTCGTGAAATCAAAAAATGTAATCTCATGAAAATTACAAATTACAAATCTCATTAAGAAAATGATTTTTCAAAAGTGACTTCAAAAGATTTTTGTTACATTTTTCAAACCAATTAACTTTAAAAGTTGCAGAGCAATTTGCAAAATCTGTTTTTCATTTTAAAATGACAAATGTTTGGCGTAAATGTACACGGACGTTTAAGCCATTATGAAAATAATTTGAAAACTACATTAGATGCATTGAAAAAGTAGTATTCTTATGTTTGGAGCCATATTGATTTGTTTCATGGTACTCACGTCGTCAGAGCATATGGATAATTGATTTTTATGCCCCGCTAAGGATAGTAGGGCATACTGTTTCCCAGTTTGTGCATCTGTTCATCTTTTTTTTTTATCAGAGTAAAGTTTTAGTTGAAGATAGTTTACCATGAAGTTGTCATAATATCAACTTGAAACTTAGTACCTTGTTCATTATAATGTGATCTTTCTAAAATATATGCCAAATTGAGGTTTTTTTCCCAGAATGGGCACATTCTTTTTTAACAGTATTTATCTTGGCTGAGTGGTCAAGTTTCTTTTGGTAAAGCATCTAACCATTGTTCTTGTTTTTAAATATTTATAGATTATTTATGTTTTTGAACTCAACATATTTTCTCGTCCTTTTCTTATCTCTGGGTACAAAAATCCCAAATAATGTGTAAATAGCTATTTTCTTACACAACACTAATGATTTATGACATTATAAGTTCTGTTTCTTCATGACTGTAAAATAAAAACAGAAAGGGTTGTAGTTGAGGTCAATGTCAGTGAAATGGAGATTTCGAAGAACTATTCGAAACTGATACAATTTATTATGATAATAAAAATGGCATCATAGATGGGGGAAATAGCAAATGATCAAATTAAATAACTTTATTTCAATCATGAAATTAGTGAAAAATAAACCCCTCACAAAGAATTGAACACTTTACAGTGTAACCTTTTCTATAAGTACACATTGGTAGGATTAAAGAAAGAATTTGTTGTATATCAGAAATATTTAAAGGACAAATTCATTCACACCAGCAAGGAATTTGTGTAAATCGACCAGTCATTATCCTGTAGGCAGACTGATATAAATATAATACTACTGAATCAGTGGCATTGACTTTGCAACAGATCACATCTGGTGCTTTTATACTTCACTTCATCAATAAATGTATATATGTAAAAATGTTATAAACTTTTAAATGAAAAATAGGTTGTTTGATTCAAAACTCAAAAGATTTTGTTTCTCTCCAGAATTTGTTATTTTATGTACATATGTGTTAGGTGATTATCTTCCTTTTTAACTGTGTCATCTTGAAATTTGATGGAAAGAATAAGGGTTGACACTAATATAAATGTTGACACAAAAATAGATGTTGCCACAAAAATATAGGTTGACACAAAAACATAGGTTGACACAAAAACATAGGTTGACACAAAAATATAGATTGACACAAAAATTAAGTACATTAGGCAACAATAAATCCATATTTGGTCACTTATCCTTGTATAATCAAAATGCTTCAATTTCTTTTCCAAATCTTGTTGAAAGTTAAAGAACAGTATTGATTTTTTTAAATTTTTTTCAAGTTCCAGTACAGTCACTTAAAAAGATGTCGTTAATCTGTTTTCAATTGTTTGATTTTGTTTGCTGCTGCTATTTTTGTAGAGATCAAGGAAAATATAAAGAGGCTGGTAATCTCCTTCACGATGCCATAAAAATACTGGAAAAAACATTAGGATATGATCATCCTGCAGTGAGTGCCTTATTGATATGAATTTTGGGAGATAGTTTGATGTATGTAAACAGCAAGTAGGTCAAACACTCTTAGGAGAAGATTCATTAAAAGTATTGGCCTGAAGCATGAAAATTACATAATTACTATGATTTTCCGGGGAATTTGCGAAGATTTTTTTTTATTTCAAAACTCGGACAATACCAAATTAAATTTTCTAGGATTTCTGCACTGGTATATTACATCAAACTCTCTCCCTTCTGTAGAACATCGAATTGATATTAATGAATACAATGTGTGATATGAAAATATCAGAGACCAAGGAAAATATAAAGAAGCTGTAAACCTGTTGAACGATGCTTTAGACATCCGTGAGAAAGCGTTAGGAAAGGATCACGCTACAGTGATTTTTGTACTGCATGTATAACCCATGGTGGTTCATGTTGTACCCAGTAACATACATCACCTGTGCATTGTCATTCTCACAAACTCACTAGATTCTTTTCATCTCACGAAGATAACCATTCTTTTCTGCAATATCTTTTCAATTCAAGAGGCCAACAAAATCTGCTTTCTCTGAAAACTTAACAACCTTTTCAAATTCTATCTTTAGAAGACATTCATTGATCTATGCACTTCTAATTTCTGCTTTATAATGAGCTATATTGTTTAGTATGCATCAAGTAGCTTTTGCAAGAAAATTACAAATTTCAGAGTTCTAAAAACATTTATCACAGCAAAAGTAATTCACTGTTGAAGTATAAAAAAACTGTAAATTGCAGATTTGCACACAATTCTTTGAGATATTCTGTTTTGATATATAGGAACTTGTAAACAATAAAAACCTTTGAAGAAAAGAGTAAAAATGTGCCTATTTCAAAGAAGAAAAAAAACTTGTGCTGTTATTTTATACAATGTACAGGTGGTGTAAAGCGGATTACCTGTTTATTTTTACTGTTTATTATTTTCTATTCAAATTTATATGGAGAGAGATGGGAAACTAGAGGATATTATGTTGTAGTTAATTGCTTAAATACTATATCATGTTTAAATGTGTGCATGAATTTCGTAACTAATGTATGTGTAATATTTTGGACAATTTGATTCCTTGTTAAACAAAGGGGAGGGGGCTAAAATTTGAAAAAAAAAAATGAAATGGTATACTAGTAATTGTTTTTTTAATTATCTGTTATCTTTAATGGGTTGAAAAGGTTTTCATTTGTGCAAAAACTGATTATTGTACTGTAAATATGTTCTGTTGAATGTATTATCAAAGCATGAATTATTGTGTGACATGTTTCAGTTTCATGAAAATAGTTCTAAAAGTATTCATGAAGTTTGCTGAATTTCTAACTAACGTAGCTTTAGTTGTTTAGATGGTTAGATAAATCATTTTGCTAGACCTTGTTTAGATTTATCTTCCTGGTTCACTATAAGTTCCCCGCATGGAAGAGGGCTTTTGACCTAAACCTCTAAGTAGTTTCAACAGCAATAACTTATCCAGGTACATTTAGTTATAAAACTATCTTTGCATTATGGTGGAAAGGATTGACTAAAATTTTGTTGTTGTTATTTGTGACCTTACTATGTTAAGTTTAGATGAAAAAAGGGGAAATCCATTTTATGGTTAAAAGTGATTTCAGATTGTCATACAATACACATGGTTATTCATAATTTTAATATACATATTATATATTATAATGGAACAAATACATGCACTTGTAGATACCTGCATATCTCTATCCACATAATACTTAATAATTTGAATATCATTACCTGTATAATGTATTGCCCATGTCAAATAACAATTCCTGCACTGTCTTCAGTTATCAACGATACTTTTCGTTATCTTTGTTCCTTTTAATGATATGTATGAACCATTCAAAATAAAAGTTACTCCTGTTTTGATTTAGTGACATATCATTTAACTGTGTCCTCACCAGAAAATAGGAAGATGTAAAATATTTTCAAATTCATTCAATAGTTTGTTAAAGATATTCACAAAAGTATGCATAATTTCTTAAATAAAAGGTGAAAAACAAACTAGGACACAAAAGGCATATTCGATAACTGGATAGTGACAATTAGTCATGCAATATTTTGGCCTAGGTACAAATGTAATACTTGGCAACCTGAAATATATTTTTTCTCTCTGAAATCTGTTGACAGGCTTTGAAGAATTTCAATTAACTATATATTCTTCCAGCAGAAAATCATATTATGTACATTGTTGTTTTAAAGTTGTAATCTTATTCCATGAATAAATTTGTTGAATTAACAGGTAGCTGCAACATTAAATAATTTGGCTGTGTTATATGGCAAGAGAGGGAAATATAAAGAAACAGAACCTTTATGTAAACGTGCTTTAGAAATAAGAGAAAAAGTGAGTATTGGCATAGTGAGAATGTGAAAAATAGAAAAAAAGTATTGCATGGAGCTTTCCAATTCATTAAATGCAGTTATAACATTTTACTCAAACGATCACCATTTTTCTGACTGTACTTATAATAAAAAGGATATATTCTAAACAAAATACAAAATTAGCATTGTAATTAGTTTATATTGAATGGATAATCCCACAAATTTCTGTGACTGATTTTAAAATATATGAATGCGGTGTGTTTTCTTTTGACTAAATAAGAATGGATATTGTAACGCCTCTGATATAGCATTACTAAGCTTGATATTTGTGTGTGTGTATATTTAATTATTTTACACGATATAAAAATCAACCTTGGTAGCAGGCCTTTCAGTAACTTTCAGTAATGGGGTAATTGTGAAACTGCAATGGTAACTTGCAAAACTTGGTAGCTGGACTGAGCAGTCTAAGACACTGGTTACTTATTCTTAATAAGATAAAATATAACAAAAACAGTTATAAGTTTAACAATGACTATTTAATCAGGCATAATTCAATATATATGTTATGAATAAATAACCCCAGAGCGAAAACAGTACAGAGACCCCCCTTGGACGTTATTCGTCGTGTGTATACATGGGAAAAGTTGTTGTATCATAGTAAATAATCTAGGTCACTTGGTCAGGTCATAAATATATATAATCGGGGTAAACATTAACCTGGTAATGGTTTGAAGATGATGGTTCACAGGTGGTTCGCTCTGGTTATGTGGTATGTGGAACAAAAATGGTCAAGGTTCCGTGAGCTGTGAACTAACTAGAATCGTCTGCTACAACCGTTTATATAGTACCGGAAGTCCGCGGACACAGAAAGTGTGTCCGTTACTATAGGGATAAGTGTGTCCGGCGAAATAGCGTAGTGATTGGTTATTAAATCACATATACATAGTAAAGGGCTCTGGAAACTAGGCCATCTCTGTCAATTCCGATTGGTCTTTAAAACCGGAAGTTCCCACGGCAATAATATAAAAGATGGCGCAAAAACAAATAGGAATGTACAACTGTCGAGGGAAAAAGGGAGATATGGGCTTATCAAAGATAACTCTTAGTGGGAACGTACCCTGGTTACAATATAGACACTTAACGTGATCGAATAAAACAGGTGAGCAAATGGGACAAGCGATATACAGGTCAAACTAAAGCTGGGAACATGTCAAGGTACCCCCTGGTCAAACAGTGAGAACGAACCCTGTTCTAACTATATTTCCCATAAACAATAATATAATACATACAATACAATATAATACGGCCGCGATACCTGAAATATAAAGTGTTCATCTCCATAGTTCTTCCGTTTATAATATAAACAACAGTGCAGCTCAGAGTAGCGGAACACGAAAATGAAAGTGAAAGTAAAAGTGAAATCTCTGAGCAACACAAGAAAAGAATAAAACGTGATACATATAAACCTATCATCCTTATCTCCTACCCTTAGGCATAACACTACCCCCCCACCAAGGGTTAAAAAGGGTTCGTCCTCGGACTAAAAATAAGAGACCTACTTACCAAAAACTTACCTACAAAATGTACCCTTAAAATAAACCCTTACTCTTCTGTTGGTGATGATGTTGGCTGGTCGGAAGTCCATACTTCTTTCATCTCTAGGATGGTACCATCTGGTAGGTAGCAACGTTCTTCCTTCATTATGGTCCTAACACCAATTGGAACAAGCTGTCTTTTGTACCTAGCTTTCTGTGATGTCCTGCATATGTTTACTTTCTCTTGTAAGGTATTAGCCAAAAGGTGTGTGTGATATTGTGATGGAGCTCCAGCAAAGAATAATCTTGGGTCCAGGCAAAGATGTTCGTGGTTGTCTGTTTCTAGTGAGATGGGTTTTACATTCCATAGGTTTGTTGGTACTGTGCAATCAATAACAGGTGTCAAAGAGTTGGTAGGAATCTCCTTTGGTTTTATATTCAAATTATTAGCGGGTTTCAATTTCATAGAAAGATCTAAAGGTTCTTCTTGGTTGGTGGTAATTGGGTCTTCTGGTGTACATGGTGTTATGGTCCTGGTCATAGTTAAATTTAAAATTTGTTCTGTTGGTTCTTGATGATTAATACTAGTTGCAATGGAAAATGAAGGTGATGGTTGTTGTTGATCAATAATGGTGGCTATAGAAACTAGAGGTGATGGTTCAGGATTATATAAAGTGATAGAAGGTTCCTGTGGTGCCAAGTCAATGTCAATGGAGAAATTGTCTGGAGAATTAACTGGTGACAGGTCATGCAAATACTTGGAGAAGAGTTGGTCTGAAGAAATAATACATTCTGATGGTGTCTCTTCATTGAGAAGTTGTCTCATTGGTGATGGAGTGCGGGGCTCCACACCTAACAGGTCTGAGAAATCCGGCATGCTGGCCTCCAGGAATTCTGTTAGCTGCCTGGTTGTCTCAGTGGAGATTGGTCTGTCTTCTGGGATGTATTCCTCCATCTCAGTCTCACATACATATTTGTTTCTGGTGGTAATAAGGTTTGTGTATTTCTCGTGGCATTTTTCATGGTGTTTTACTCTGTAGCCATAACACTTTGGTTGCGAATAAGGGCACCAGCGACACTTGATGAATTCATGACTGTGGGATCTCCTTCTGTGCCTTTGGAGGCTGTCCCTAACCGGAAATCTCTTCCCATAGTCATCACATTGGAAAGGGTATATATAATTGGTTTTCACCACATCACTCATGCTACAAAATATAAAATAAAATCCATTTTTAACATAATGGCTTGCTAAGGTTCTGGTATCAAATTATATATATACAGGTATTTGCATATATATATGTATTAATACACACAAGAAAACAAATGTCTGGTTACTGTAACTTTTATAAATATAACATCAATGGTTTTTTCATAACGCATTTCGTGTACATGTATACAACATGTATCAACGAAGAAATCACTGGTAATGTGAATTATTAAAAATGAGGTATAAACCTTCATACTATGCACATGTACAATACACATAAAAATAAAATTGAGAATGGAAATGGGGAATGTGTCAAAGAGACAACAACCCGACCATAGACCAGACAACAGCAGAAGGTCACCAACAGGTCTTCAATGCAGCGAGAAATTCCCGCACCCGGAGGCGTCCTTCAGCTGGCCCCTAAACAAATATATATACTAGTTCAGTGATAATGAACGCCATACTAAACTCCAAATTGTACACAAGAAACTAAAATTAAAAATAATACAAGACTGACAAAGGCTAGAGGCTCCTGACTTGGGACAGGCGCAAAAATGCGGCGGGGTTAAACATGTTTATGAGATTTCAACCCTCCCCCTATACCTCTAGCCAATGTAGAAAAGTAAACGCATAACAATACGCACATTAAAATTCAGTTCAAGAGAAGTCCGAGTCTGATGTCAGAAGATGTAACCAAAGAAAATAAACAAAATGACAATAATACATAAATAACAACAGACCACTAGCAGTTAACTGACATGCCAGCTCCAGACTTCAATTAAACTGATTGAAAGATTATGTCTTCATCATATGAATATCAGGCACAATCCTTCCCGTTAGGGGTTTAGTATCATACCATCATAACATGTATGAATAATAAATCTTTTTTTATTATTATAAATGCACCAACTTCGTATGGTGTTAATTTTTCTTTAGTCATTGGTTTCATGACTAACCGATTTGTATATATATATATATAGCCTACATATAACTTTTGGAATTTATAAATACATGTTTCAATCGAAATTAAAGGTTCTCACTTCATTAATATTCAGGTAAGTGAACTATTAACAACAATAAATATAACAATTTATAACACATTGAATATCACTCAAATTACTGGTAATAATATACATATCTATATTATAACAATATCAGTCATGGTCTGTCTGTTCTCTGTCTAGTTTATTCTTGACTTGAAGTCTGGTATTTTAGGCTGGTTCCCCTAACGGTTGATACCACCTTTTCATATTTCCTTGAAAAAGTTTAAGTCTGTTCACATGAACCACTTTAAACTTCAGTTTTGGGCCTTCCTGGATTTTATATAAAACATCTGAAAGCACTTTAATAACAGTAAATGGGCCGGACCACCGCATTTGAAATTTGGGTGAACGTCCTTTATATTTCCTGGGGTCATGAAGGAGTACTCCATCTCCTACTTTAAATGTGGGAAAAGTACAAGAGAGGTCATACCGCCTCTTTTGTTGCTCACTTGCACTAACAAGGCGGTCTCTAACTACTTCATGGACCTTTTCTATTTCATCTGTCAACTTATCAACATAGTTGGTTACACTATATCTATTAAGTTTAATTCCACAAGCCCCCCCCCCCCCCCCCCCCCCCATAAATTAAATCTATTGGCAGCCTCACTTCCCTGCCCATCATCATTAAACATGGCGTTTCTCCCAAGGTTTCATGAACTGATGATATATAAGCCATCATAAGGTAAGGTAAATATTGGTCCCAGTCCTTCTGGTGTTTAGGCACAACTTTACTTATCATGCCCTCGATTGTTCGATTTAATCTTTCCACTAATCCTGAACTTTGGGGATGAAATTGACTATTCCTGGTCTTGTCAATATGTAATTTATTGCACAATTGAATAAACAAATCAGAGGTAAATTGAGATCCCTGATCAGTATGTATTTGTAGGGGGAGACCATAACGGCATATAAATTCTTCCAGCAGCTTATCTGCTACAGTTTGGGCTTCAATATCAGGTACCCCATATGCTTCAGCATATCTGGTAAAATAATCTGTCACAACAATGACATATTTATTGCCCTTATAGGTTTGGGTCACTGGACCTAAATTATCAAGAGATACCCTTTCCAAAGGTTCCCCAACAATATATGTTTTCATGTGTCCCCTGGTATGATGGGAAGGTTGGTTCCTTTTCTGACACCCAGTGCAACGCTTACACCACCTTTCTACAAAACTGGTATACCCAGCCCAATAAAACCTATGCCTAATTCTGGCTATAGTACGTTTAAATCCTAAATGCCCCCCCCCCCCCCTAACTGATCATTATGTAACAGTAGCAACACACGGTTTCTATCTGCACTTGGTAAAACATATTGTTAATTTGATATCATTGGTTGTGGTATTTTCCCATTTTCTATAAAGTATTCCACCAACAACTGTTAGTCTATCCCATTGACTCTAATAGGTTTTATGGTGTTGACTAAGATGAGAAATTTCTGGCCACTTTGGTTTTTCTGATGACTTTTTCCAAGTCAAAACTCTAGAAATAACAAGGTCATTTAATTGGGCTTGTTTAAACTCTTCAGGGGTTTTATTGTTAAACCAATTGGTAATAATAGGGGTATCTTCAGTTTCATTTTCATCCAACATATTAATTGACCTTATTGTTGGATTTTCAATTTGGTAACTAACTTCAGTCACATCTCTGGTATCACAGTGTTTACAATTAACACATGGTCTTCTAGAAAGACCATCAGCATTTCTATGCTTTTAACCAGCACGGTGTTTTATAATAAAAGTATAGGTCCCTAATATTTCTAGCCAACGGGCTAGTTCACCTTCAGGGTTCTTAAAATTCTTGAGCCAGTTAAGGGCTCCGTGGTCAGTTCTCACAGTGAATTTGACCCCGTACAAATAATGATGAAAATGTTTCACTGCTAAAACAATAGCCAACAATTCCCTTCTAGTAACACAATATTGTCGTTCAGTTTTTGATAAAGTACGACTATAATACGCAATAACACACTATTTGCCTTCATCATTGATTTGGGATAAAACTGCCCCCACCCCTGTGCCACTGGCATCGGTATCTAAAATAAATTCCTTATCAATACAAGGATATGTTAAAATTGGGCTAGTCATAAGTGCCTTTTTCAGAATATTGAAGGCTGTTTCACATTCAGCATTCCATTTAAAAATCACATTCTTTTCTGTAAGTCTATGTAAGGGTCGGGCTATTTTTGAAAAATCTTTAATGAATTTTCTATAGTAAGAACAGGTTCCAAGAAAACTTCTAACGTCCTTAACATTGGTTGGCATGGGCCATGACTGTACAGCCTCTATTTTTATTGGATCTGGTGAAATACCCTCTGCGTTCACGACATGTCCCAAAAATTATACTTTCTTTTGAAAAAATAAAACACTTTTTAGGAGCAATTTTCAACCCAGCCAACTGAATTCTATCAAAAACTTCTTGGAGCCTGGTAATGTGCTCCTCAAATGATTTAGAAAACACAATGATGTCATCTAGGTAGATTACACAAATTTCCCATTGTAACCCAGATAAAATATATTGCATAAGTCTGGAAAAGGTGGCACCAGCGTTACACAGACCAAAAGGCATACGATTAAATTCAAAAAGGCCTTTACTGGTAACAAAAGCTGTTTTAGCCGCGTCTTGAGGGTCCATGCCTACTTGGTGATAACCACTAGCCAAATCGAGAGTACTGAACCATTGGTTTCCCCTTAGAGCGTCAATGCAGTCCTCTATTCTTGGCAAAGGAAAATTATCTTTAATAGTCATTTCGTTGACTAAGCGAAAATCTATGCACAGGCGAATTGACTGGTCTCGCTTGCGAACAACTACAATAGGGGAGCTCCATGGTGACTGGGAATGACGTATAATACCCCCTTCAAGCATTCGTTGAATTTCTTCGTCAACTTCCTTCCTTTGAGCCAAAGGTACACGTCGTGAGTTTTGTTTTCTAGGATGAGCATCTCCTGTATTTATTTTATGTTGTATTATGTCTGTCCTACCCAGGTCATGTTTGAAAATTGCAAAGGCTCCAGAGTATTTAGTTAAAAGGTCAACTACAATTTTGCATTGATCCACCTTAAGGTTACTTTTACATTTTTCAATCACAACTTGCATATGTTCAGGTATAACTAAATCAGGTTCTGCATTTATAATTCCCAGAATGTTTTCTGAACATACAGTTTCAGCTTTACCAGCACAAGTATTTTTATATAAGGTCTGGGGCAAATCAGTCATATTCATGACTCTTAAAGGTAAATTATCTCCCTTGAATGTGCAAATAGATTTTGCAACAAGAACACCCTTGTTCTTAAAAGACTGACTGGTATTATCAAGAATCATGGTTGTACCATAAGGTAGTTTCTCATTTGGTAGTGCATGAATAATGGTTTCACTATTAGGAGGTATTGTCACTTGCTCATCAATTGATATTTTAAACAAACTAGGTATTTGACTCTCTAAATAACAGTCCACAGTTTGACTATTCAATAAAAGATTTTTATTTGGTACATCAATCACACATTGATTGTTATACATGAAATCATATCCTAGTACAACAGGTATGTCAATATCAGCAACCACAAAAATTTGGTATATGTACTGATTGTCTATTAATAATGGTAACTTAATGGTGCCTAATGGTCTAACATTATGCCCGTCTGCCATTTTCAAGTTATTTTCATATGGTTGTAATTTGGTTTTACAATGCTCAGGTAAACTATAAAAAATTTTGGGGTTTAAAACACTCATAGATGCCCCAGTATCAATTAAACAATGAATGGTTCTACTAAAAATTTCAACTTTCATGAATAACCCATCATGATCATGAGTTTTCACTTTTAAAATATTGGGTCTTTTCGAAATACAAGGTTCAGCTGGGAGGTGACCCTCACTGCCAGCGACTAACAGTTTCCCTGGTTTGAGGAATTTGTTGTAGACACTTCACTTCTTGTTTGGTTATTTGGTCGGTTAAAACCTTGGTTGTTATTATATTGACCACTTTTCATTTGCTGAATAAATTGATTGTTGTCAGTCGTGCGTTTTTGACAATCCCTTTTAAAATGTCCTGGTTCCCCACAATAATAGCATGCCCCTTTTCCTGAATTTCCCCCTTTAAAATGGGTTTTCGGTGCATTATAATTGGTATTAATTTCACTGACCTCTGCAAGTTTCCTTAAATTTGGTTTTCTATGGCTTGAATGAAAAGCTTCATATTTCAGAGCCAAATTAAGGGCATCATCAATAGCATCAATATTTGATTGGGTAAGAGCCCAAGCAAGGTCATAATCATTCAATGCTTCTCTAAAGCTACGGTAAGCAAGACTATCTAGAACCTATTGGTGTGCTTTTGGGTAAGCCAAACGGACAAGTCTTTTAATATCCTGCGCAAGTTCAGGCAAACTTTCCCCCCTTTTCCTAATTCTTGTGTCAATTTGAGTTTTGTACAGTTCAGTCTGGTTATCTGGTGCAAACCTTCTAGTTAAAGTATTTACAAGCTCACTATAAGATGGTGGACAATTAGTATTTATATCACCAATTGCTGCAAGTGCATCATTTTGCATGCAAGAAATTAATTTTAAAGCTTTAATTTCACTAGACCAGCCATTTAATTGTGCAACAATCTCAAAATGCACTTTATAATCTGACCAGTTTGATTTCCCGTCATAACTGTAGGGTTTGGTGTAGCCAACATTCCCTGAATTATGGTTATTAAAACTAATGCTTGGGCTAGATGCAACATTTATTGGTTTGTCAATCTGCGGACATGTAACAGGTACTGGTTTCATAAACATGCCTGTACTTGGTGTGGTCTTAGTATTTTCAATAGGTATGAAGGCACTAGGAACATGACCTGATGTTAGGTTCTCGGGGTTTTGTAGGTTTTGGTTGTTTATTTCATGCACACTAGGACCAGAACTAGCAAGATGTGTGGTATCGCTTTTCCATTGCTGTAGTGAGTTTCCCCATTTCACCATGAAGGTTCACAAAATTATTTTTCCCTTAGTAAGAACGTACCCTGGTTACAATATAGACCCTTAACGTGATCGAATAAAACAGGTGAGCAAATAGGACAAGCGATATACAGGTCAAACTAAAGCTGGGAACATGTCAAGGTACCCCCCTGGTCAAACAGTGAGAACGAACCCTGTCCTAACTATATTTCCCATTAACAATAATATAATACATACAATACAATATAATACGGCCGCGATACCTGAAATATAAAGTGTTCATCTCCATAGTTCTTCCGTTCATAATATAAACAACAGTGCAGCTCAGAGTAGCGGAACACGAAAATGAAAGTGAAAGTAAAAGTGAAATCTCTGAGCAACACAAGAAAAGAATAAAACGTGATACATATAAACCTATCATCCTTATCTCCTACCCTTAGGCATAACAATATAACAGTTTTGTATTCTAAGATATGCAACCATCTAATCGTAAATCTTCAAAAAACAATATTTGTATCTACTAAATGTAGATATGTTGATCTTTAGTCAGATAATGAACTTTCTATGGTATGTTTAAATTCTGTGTATATATATTAACCATTATATTCACAGGTACTTGGTAAAGATCATCCAGATGTTGCCAAACAGCTTAGTAACTTGGCTCTTTTATGTCAAAATCTAGGAAAATATAAAGAGGTAAACATTCTTCAAATAATTAACCATAGAGCTTCAAAATAACTTGGTATTATATTCATTTGAGCTGAATAACAAAAGATTAAAGACAAAAGCCTCTTCTTATCTTACAAACATATCAGTTATTGATAGATATCAATGTCTGTTGTTTAATTAGATTCTTATGCCTTGTCAACTGCGTAAGATATGATTATTTGGACATCAAGTAGAAGAACAAAATTACAAAACAGAATAAAAATTTGTTTCTTTGATGTATAATAATATCGAGGTATTTCATGACATTTTGTTTTACATCTTTTAAATCTTAGGGTATACATCAATGAGGCGGCAACCCAGTGACACAAAATACTGGAAATCATCTAGAAGTCAGCATACCGTCTTCAACAATAGACATAAGTTTATACATGTATATTCTAGTGCAATATTTGGTTTAGAAACCATATGAATGTGAAGGTAGTGGTCAACACCATCAGGCATACAAAATCAAAAACATGGCATATGTTGAATAGAATGTCAATTTCTTTTAAGAAGATTTCAAAATAATATTTGGATATAAACTCATCATAGATACCAGGCTTAACATTTTGTACTCCAGATGCGTGTTTCGTCTGCAAAAAACTCATCAGTGATGCGCCAAAGATCTGTTTGTTATTCAATTTTATTTATTTTGAATTTATAAATATTTTTCAGGCTACTCTAACTATAGAATGTAAATGCTTTATAAATCGATCAGTTAATTAGTTTGAAAAATCAAGTTTATAAAGGGTTAGAATTATTTGTGATGTAAAGGTATTTATTGTGATTTATCCAGGTAGAACAGTACTATCAAAGAGCTTTAGAAATATATGAAAGTAAATTAGGTCCAGATGATCCAAATGTTGCTAAAACCAAGAATTATTTGGTAAGGATGACCGTACAATGTTGTCTTGTGCCTTACCCAAGAAGAACATTAATTTGGATGTTGTAAATTGCATGTGGCTAAATTTGATTTTATTTTGAAATATATTATGTTTTCACAAAGGTGTAGGATCCAGATTGTAATTTGCTTAGTATTTATAAATTGCTGTATGTAAGACGTCATTTAAAATTAACTTTTATATGGAGAAAAATCAATCTCTTTTACCCATCTTTAAATTATATTTATGTTTGCTCAAAAGCAATCTTTTTAGAGAAGCAATTCGAATATAAAAGAAGATTGTTACTGTTAGAGTTTCTTTTTTAACTTAAAATATAACTTTCGATGTTCTGAGAATTCCAATAAAAACAAACCCTGTCTCTGTTAAGTTGCACCTGTGTGAAGATATAAAACTGTTTATATGGAATATTTTTTTTGCTTGGTTTATATGTTGTGTTTTGCATGATTTTAGTTGATTTTACAGATTGAGCATTATTTTAGAAGAGCTTTAGAAATTTATTTGGAACGTTTAGGTACAGACGATCCTAATGTTTCTAAATCAAAAAATAATTTGGTAAATAAAGGTTTTATTTTAGCTACTTTCTCTTCTTATTTTGCCTTTTCGTGACTTTTGTTATGTTGTTATATTATTATTGTTTATGATTTCTGAACAATTATTTAAAGTGTGCAACCACATCTTTTTTATAAACCCCAAAATAGGTCTGAACACTTTTTTTAAAAACTATACATAGATATATATATTTTGTGTTCTTTAGAGCTAGCAGTTAATATGTTTATTAAATAAAAATATGCCTCTCATTTGAAAAATAATTAGAAGACAGGATTAGTTAGATGCTAGTTTTTCAATCTTTCCAAATACATAGATAGAGTAAAGACTGAAACTCAATACATATGTCTAATAGTGGATCGTTTTTAATGCTTTAGTGAGGAAGACATACAAAAACACTTTGCATGTTTAATTTTGACCTCATTATCATCAAAATCCTATTTATTGATCGCTCCAATAACATACATACCTATATATTGACACAGCCTTTTATAGAGCTTATTTTAGGGGGATTTTAATGTAATTAGGAAAAGCATACAGTATCAATTTGAACCATGTAACAAAAATGTCTATCGTATTTTCTTTGTTTGTATAGCATTTTGTTGTCTTCCTTGTGAGGATTGAATTATCAAAGTATTCCCGGAAAGTACAATTCTGTATGTTTTGTATTTTTTATCATTTTTACATGCTTTATGAAGTCAATCAAATAAATGATGATGGGTGTGTTTAACGACCTTGACTGGCTATAAAGCCCTCACACTGTCGATAAAAATAGCCCCGTCAGTGCTAGTTTTTATTTACCTATTCCCAGCATGAAAAAAAAACTATCCATAATTTTTTATCAAAAGTCAGTAACTGTGTAGTTAAACTAGTAAAAAAGTATTACAAAAAATACCGAACTAAATTCAAAAAGGGGCAATTCATAAAAACTGACAAATTCAAACTTTATCAACCAACAGAAACTAAAATATTTTTAAATTTGTATTTAGCAATGCATAAATATAGGCAGAATATATAAAAGAGCCGAGAATGTTATTTCACAATAATAAATGCATGTATTTTTTACTGGAAATCTTAAAACAAAATACTATTCTGCAAGATTAATAATGCAATTTTAGCTATTATCAGTAGAATATTATGTACAAAGTTTCAGTAATTCCAATGTTGGCTACTCACATTTTTTGCAATAATTTAGACATTGCGGTTTTTTTTCAGAACTTTAGGTTTTTATAAAACTTAATGGAAAATTCTTACTTGATGTGATACTGTTACCCTTAAACTACTTTGAAAAACATGTTTGTGATAAGTTCAGAGATAGTTATACAAAAACTATTATTTTAAATAAAGAGTCAAAATAATCAATTGTGTGTCAAAACTTTTATGTGAAAAGATTATGAGTAAAGAGTTGTTTATTTTAAAGTAAAGAAGTTTGAATTAATTGAAGATGATAAATTTAATTTTGTTAATTCATGAACGAAAAGTTATATTTTATGATATTTTTACACACACTAATACTATTTCAGGCATCAGCTTATTTAAAACAAGGAAAATATAAGTTAGCAGAAGCTTTATATAAAGAAGTACTAACCAGAGCACATGAAAAAGAATTTGGAAAAGTTGACGGTAAGTTTGATTTAAGTGCTGTAAAATAAACGCAGATGTTGTATTACAAACAGAAGCTATTCATCTATTGAATTTTTGTTTGCCAAACATCTGATTCTGTGTAGATTTCTACATAATCTTTTTTGAAACTGTAAACTGTTAAAATCAAGTTTCTTTGTATATCTAAGATACATTTCTAGATTATCGATGGTTTCTCAGCTAGCCCTGAAAGTTTGAAAGACCATTGCTTATCTGTTTTTCGCAGTTATCGTAGGCAACATCAATCACCATGGCTAATGATGTCACACATTCTCTTTCTCTATGAATGTATAGCTTCTGCTGTAACACTTCAATGTGATTTGCCAAATTAGGTAAAAAAGCTTATGAATTTAATGATATATTTTTTAAAAGATCAGGTTTCGTGGAAAGGTAATCTACCAGACAAAGAGACCTCATACAACAACTTAATATGTGAGGAGAAATATAAAGAAGATCGTAAACTTCATTTATAAACCCTTCATGCAAATGTATGCCACCCTAATTTTTCCTTAATTTGTTTTTCCACATCAAATCATTCAGACTCTTACAATTTTTGAACATCGTGAGTGTTTCTGAAAATAAGACAAAATAAGGTTGCAAATTTTTTTCAGGATGCAATAAAAAAATAATTATTTCTGTCAAGCTCTATATTTTACGTATTGTTAAGAATTAGTAGTAAAAAAAATAATTTTATACTATTTTGTAATGCATAAATAGATCTATGGAAAGTATATGGTACTGTTTGATTTAACTGCAAATGTCATTGAATCAACATTTTATGTTTTAGGTGATAATAAACCTATATGGATGCAAGCTGAGGAAAGAGAAGAAAATAAGGTAATTAGAAATATATCTTTTGGCCAGGATGCAATTTGTCTAATTTTTCTTGATTGTGATTGTGGTTGTACTGAATGAACCTACATTATGTAAAGAATCTTCTATTAGTTTTTCAGTGATTTGGTTGTAGATGAGCCATAAATGAAAGACCTGAAAGGGTACCCAATGGTGGTAAAAATGTCTGTAGTAGTATGTTCAAATGTAATTGAAGTGATATTAAATAGATCTGTAGGAGAATGGTAATTCCAGGTTTATATATGTGAATGAAAGGAGGGGCTGGTGTAAATATCATTGAGACAAAAACATGTTAACACAAGTAAACCAAAAGTAGATTCATAGTGGTCAATATAGTGTTTTAGTGATGAACAACTGAAGATTTGACATCAATTCCTAATTGGACAACAACACTTTTAAGTTGTGAAACAGCAACTAGTTTTTGACAAGTTTATAGTCATAAACATGTACATCATGTACATAATACATATACCACACACCTTAACATCAGGGTTTGTTATTGTAGATATAAAGATTTATTTAGGTAATATTTTTCTAAATTTATTTATGATATATTCCAGGGAAAATTGAAAGATGGCACACCAATGCCTGAATATGGTGGTTGGCATGCAACTGCAAAAATATATGGGTATGTTAAATTGTTAAACGTGGTCTATTTTTTTCTTGTCATCACCCTCTTCAATCTGTTATCATAAGGAGTTTTTAACCTTGTTGATGCCTTCAATAAATAATCGAAGATTTTGCAGAACAAAGACTATATTTTTCCAGTTGATTTTGATTTTACATGGAGCTTCCCATTTTCAATTTATGCTGCTATATCAAGCCTAAGGTTGTGACCTAGATTTGAAATGTAAGAAAATATAGAAATGCTAGTTTTTATCTGTATGTTGTATCACCAACTCGACAGTGATCATTTCTTTATCTCAGTTTACAGAAGTTTATGACTATGAAGGTATTACCCTCTGTTAATCACATCATCTCAGCATCATTACCTTAGAAAAAATCTCGACTGCATCTGGGAACGTAGAAACGCCAAATTAATACAATTACACTTATTATTTTTCAAAAGGTGAGAGCACATTTAAGGATATCTATGGGAAAATGCAGCCACTGCCCATTATTTATTTAAAGTGTCCCCAATCCCATTGCAATTATTTAAACAGAGTTTAGCAGACTTATATAGAGCTTTCATTGAAATTTTGTTTAACCCAATTCTTAGCTCTTTCTATTTGTTATATTACCAAGATAAAGTGGTAGAATGCATGACACTGCCGTTTACCAGTCACCAATGAATAAAATAAAAGTACTTCTTAATCAAATCAAAATGCCAAAATTATATTTATTATTTATATATTTTACAGTCCCGCAGTTTCCACAACATTAAAAAATTTGGGAGCTTTATACCGTCGTAAGGGAAGGTATGAAGCTGCCGAAACATTAGAGGAATGTGCATTGCGGTCCACGGAAAATGTAAGTAACTTAGAATGTTTGTGTATGTTGATATTTATATAATATGAAAACGTTTTGTATATCTGTGTGGGATTTGATTCTTTGACATGTTTATTTTTATTTTGTTGCTTATAGAAAACTGATCTGTCATTTTAAAGAAAAAGATTTTCGAAGTTTTACGAATTTTGGTCGTACACTCAATGCTCTTTAAATGTACCAAAGTTTCAATCATGGTAAATTGTACATAGCTGTTGAAAAACAAAAATATCAGTCCTCGACTTGTAACCTTTTTGTTTACAACAACTACAGTGTTAAGGAAAACTTACTGTCACGATTCATAGTTCGTTATGATTTCCACAAGTCATATGACATGAAGAAAAATCAAATGAAAATGTGCAAAAATGTAATACGATAAAATAAATATAAAACAAAATAGCAAAATAAATAACTTGGTTAAACAGTTTCTCTTTATGGAGTATCAATAGTAATCAAAACTAATTGCAGGTTAATCAATGATTGTATTTTATACAAAGAGAGGTGAAAAAGTCTGAAATTCCCTTTTTATATGAATATTCGAAAACAAACACATGGATTTTACAGACATTATCCAAGTCAACTGAAAAGCAGAGTATTTAAAATTATAACTTTTCTATTTTCTAATGAGAAAAAAAGATCCTTTAATTAGACATTTTATTAAAAAAATACAAGCTTTAAGCTTACAACAAATAAGTAGTCAATAAAATATGAATCAGTGTTTTTCTTTGTTTTCTGTGTTTACACATTGATAAAAGAATTTCATCAGTGCGCTTATCAAAATAAAAAAGTAATCAAGTTTGTACTGATTTTTATATAGGTGTGAAATATTGTAGTTTGTATCAAAAGAAAAGGATGATCAATTTAATGCCTAACAAAAATTCTGTTCAATTTAGTTCACTAGAAAAATGAAGTGGAAAAAGTCAGCAGCTAGAAAGCATGAAAAAATGAGGTTGAATTTGAAGATACGCATATTTAGATTTTAATTTTGAAAAATAAAAATTTCTTCTTGATTAAAGTTATTAATATGATGCAAACTTTGATGTGGAATTATTTATATTGTGCTTGATAAAATCCAAGATCATGTTTTCTTCCAGCTTATATTGATCTCGGATAGACAAAATATTTGATAATAATATTTATTTCAGATATTTGGTCTAGACTATTTATGCAGATAATAGAACTATTAATTAATGATATGGTTAATTACAGGATTATTACTTAAGAATTAATTTATGAACATGTCAAAATCAGCCTTATAAATCCAGCTTGTGTTGTATTATCATATTATGAATTGAAATATATATATATATATATATGTATAAATGTATGCAATATGAAGTATATGGATTATGTTAAAAGTAAATATGTTTTTAGATTAGATATTTAACTTATTTTTTTAGAATAATTTTTTGAAAGTTGCACACCTAAACATGAACCGTTACCAACACAAAATGCTTGCAACAAATGCTTCCTTTTCAATAGAGCAGATTTCATCACAGCAGCAACCAGTATAGAATTCCCCAGAAAACTACATTTGAAAAATAATTGCATAAAAGAAAGTTTTGCTTAAATTTTTTTATTATAAAGCACTTAAGAAAGATATTTGTTCCATGCTTAATTAGTCTCGTACAGTGTACCTGATTAATGAAGAGAAATGTAAATTCTGAATTTCTCATTCTTTATGTATGACAGTAGACAGGCAGTTTGAAATTGTTTATATTTTCATCGATTTAAAGATAAACTTTGATGTTGTCCTTTGTATTTTCAGTATGAAAAGAGCAAGCTCCATGTCAGTGCTCAACACAAATAGTAAAGATGAAAAATTAAGTGTAAGTATCCAATTATTGTAATGATAAACTTAACTTGTTTATATAACTTCCTGTGACAAAAATTTCATGTGTTTTAAGGAACTAAATCATCAGTTTCAACTTTGTGGCCACTGGACATAAAGCAATCAACAATCAATCATTCAACTTTGTAACCCGCTTAAAAAGAAAAGAAGCATAATCTGATGTTGTTTATCTGTCGGACATTAACCCTGCTGTGATAGATCCCACTTCAACTTTTTGTCAGAAAAATACATTGTATTACTCTTTGATACTTTAGTTTTTGTCTTGACCTTAAAAATCAACCAGCATTCTATATGTATCATAGTTATATATGAATTAAGAATTGCATGCCTAAAAATGATAGATAGTTTCTGAAAGTTTTTAATGAACAGGACAGTGCTAGTGAACTTATTTGTGTGATATTTATAAACTCTTTAATTTGTGATCATGCTTAAATTTTTTGCTTGATTGAAACTCAATGTAAAAGTATATCTCCGCAAATCAATCATTACAGAATTAGTGACATGATCTTCACATAAAATAGGGTATTTACAAACAAAGATATATGATAAGGCTGATAATAAATATGACTGTGGAATACCAAACATTTCAATACTCGTACAAGTCCATGAACAAACAAATCAATATAGATATTTTCTTTGATTTCAGGAAAGTAGGCGTTCTTATGGTGATTTACGACAACAAGGACGGACTGCCAGTTCAGATCAACTCATTAATCGACCATTTTGACAACAGCTATAGTTTTAGACTTCATGTACAATAATGCAATATTTGACAAGCTTTTTTTGAGATTTTAATTTGTGGGCATCGTCAGATTTCGTCTTGCCGCTTTCAGTTTCAGTTCTTGTAAATATGGCATTTTACGCCATTAATCCGATGTAATTTATTTATTCCATATTTTAACATTATATCTCAGTAACGGTGTCTAATCATAACAAATTTAGATGGGGCAAGGGTAGGCAACTCCGTATTGACAAGAGTTCATTCCAAATGTATCATACAGCGCTTCCATCATTCACTCATTAGTATGCATCATAGTGTGAAAATGTGTTAAAAACTCAGTTTAGTAGATACAAACGGAAGAAAATTGGAAAATCTTGCCACTGTCAACTTCAAGCATGATTTCAAATTAATCAAATCCAGTCAAAAAACTCCTTTTCATTTTGAGCACTTTGGATGAAAACATCAATTGCTTTATAAAAGAGTGTTAGAATTTAAATTGTGACAAAAGTTGCTTAATTGATGTCAGTAAGTAATGAAGAGTAAGCCTAGTTTGTTTTCAAGAAACAATGTTCCAGGATTTTCCGAGTTTCTTCTAACTTGCTGTAAAAACAAAATGTATCAAGTGTTGAATCATCAATATTAATGAGTGTTGTGGTTTTCAGATATCATTTTCAGTCTTTCAAATTTTGTGCAAATTTATTTTTAAACTGATTGAGTGGTCAAATGACTTGCTGTTATTGAAGAATATACAGTGTTTGCGAACACAAACTACAAAATATAAATGATTTTTTTCATATAACGTTATAGCCTTGAAAATTCATGGAGGTGTATAAATTTGAAAAAAAGACTATTGTATCATTTTATGTAATTATTGATCATAACACAATGAGACTGGAAATATTATATGCACAGATCAGTTTAAAACTGGAGTTTCTTTGACATTTAATTTATACTCATTTTATTTTATTTTGTTGTATGTTACACATGTTAAATTCATAAAGGATATATTCCAAATTTTAGAATCACATTATTATGTACATACAAAAGAAACAACGTTTGAATGAATCATTGTCAGGTAGTCCATATAAAGCTTCATTAAAATTAATTACTTAAGATCCAGTTATAACTAGTGTTGAATCCACCATTTCTGTATCTAAAGGATTGTGGGTAATCTCATTGTTCATACCCAAAAATGAAAATTTCATCACATCATTGGTTGAATTCCCATTGTTTATGACGTTGTAAGCCAATCACAACGTTTTGGTGAAAATATTACACAGAATTCATTAGATTCTGAAAAGGCAAATTGTTCATTCCTTTCTCTGTAGATATTGGAATTTAAGGATGTTGACAACTTTATAAAGACATATTAAAAAAATATAAACATAAAACCGTTGTGAGGCTGTATATGTATGCTTAGATACTCAGTTCATAAGGATGATCTCGTCATAAATTGTAGTCTTACATCATATCTAAAAATAAACCATGGAGTTAATTTGTACCAAGGATTCAAGATCTCACACTCAGAAAAGATCTAAATACAATAGAAAGTACAAAAGTTCAAAATATATGTATATGTGCTGGCAGTAGTAAATTGGTTATTTTTTTAGAGAAATTACACTTTAATGACGATATGCAACATTCGTTCAAGTTATTTTATTGTTCTGCATGTTTAGACAAATTTAAACATAATTTGTTTCAAATTTAGACTGAAAATGACTTGTTTTGGTATTACAAAATTTCTCATCCACCATTTTTTATAGGGGGAAGGGGGGGGGGGGGGGGGGGGGTGTCTATCAAACCTAAACTCTTGAGAATATTATCAGGACATTGTTTAATGAAGTTTTCTATGAAGAACCAAAAGTGCCCCATTCTTTTAGTTTCACTTTAGATTGATGAGAATCCAGGAATTTTATGTGGCCTTAATGAAATGTACTAAATGTTCTGCATGCTGTAATGTGCTACCTGATGTAATTCCCAAATCAACACAGTTTTGACTTATTAACTTAAAGCATTGGAGGTTGAGCCACTGCTGGTAGTACATTAAGCATGGACTGATAAAAGATAAGACAGTACCGATTTGTTTTTACAATTCTTAGAGATTAAATCTCAATTCTGCAACTCAGAATTAGACTAGATCCCCATTTCTTTTCTTCACAAAGATTATTATGCTTTCCTCTTGACATCTCAGAAATATTGTTACACTGAGTTGACAAATAACATTGATAAATTCATTATCTGGTTTTAGATTAGCATGCATCGGGTTCGTATAACTTTTCATTTCTTGTTTGGAAGACAAGCATAAATTTTCACAAATGACTTTTTTTTTCATTAGACATCTTTGAAAAAAATGTCACCTTGCATTGACAGATAATATTGAAAATATAATTTCTGTTGTCTGTGATTGACTGACAGATATTCTTTTGAGTTCACATTGTTCAATGAATTACTAACAGAAAAATTTATTGTCAAAAGAAGTGGCTATTAGTGTAATTAAGGTATTTTGACTTTCAATCTTAAAATGATTTATCAGTGGTAGTTTTAAACACTTTGTATTTGTAAAATAATTTTATTAAGCAAAATGATCAAAATTGATGATTGTTGAAGTTTTGTTTGCTGAATTTATGTGATATAAATAGAATTGCATGAGGTGCCAATATCTTTCATTTGTAGGCATGGAAATTTCGTATTTTAAATTAAAAATTTTACGGATTAATCATTTTCATTATAAGTTGATTGATATTTTGTGATATTTTTAGGGTAAATGAATAAATTTATTTTGTAAAAAAAAATTTCATGAATTATCATATGTTCTATTCATTAGAATATTTAGATAAATTAAAGAAAATATATTTAAAACACGGCGTAAATGGCAAAAATATGTCAGAATTGATATTTGTTTACATAGATAGATACAAATAATTATTTCATAATGAATTTTCACATGCAGCATCAGATATCATTTCAAAACAATTGGCTGCAAGCTTTATAAAAGTGGCACTGGAATAATTTATAGAGGAATTTGCCTTTATTATAAGTATGTTAGGTTGATTAAAGTGCTATAGGTTTTATTTGATGGTTTTATGCCTTGTTTGACTGTATGAATGTGTATGAATGCACTGCCTGGTGATAGTATAATTTGTGTCAAGCTTATTGTGTACAAATATGAACAACTTTCCATTGTTAATTTATTAAACAATATGTAAGATGATTTAGACTTGTCTTTTGTTTTAGCCTTTTTGTCGAGCCTTGCGACTTTTGTCACAAAAGTGAGACATGGCGGTCCTACATTCCGTCGTCGGCGGCGTCCACAAATATTCACTCTGTGGTTAAAGTTTTTGAAATTTTAAAAACTTTCTTAAACTATCCTGGATTTCTACCAAACTTGGACAGAAGTTTGTTTATGATCATAACTTAAAAGATAGTATCCAGAAGTAAATTTTGTAAAAAAAAAATCCTGTTTTTCCGTATTTTACTTATAAATGGACTTAGTTTTTCTGCCAGTTAACATTACATTCACTCTGTGGTTAAAGTTTTAAAAATTTTAATAACTTTCTTAAACTATCCTGGATCTGTACCAAACTTGGACAGAAGCTTGTTTATGATCATAAGATAGTATCCAGAAGTTAATCTTGTTAAAAAAATCCTGTTTATCCGTATATTACTTATAAATGGACTTAGTTTTTCTTCCAGTTAACATAACATACAGTCTGCAGTTAAAGTTTTTAAAAATTTATTAGATTCATAAACCATTCTGGATTTTTACCAAACTTGGACAGAAGCTTCTTACAATCAAAAGATAGCATCTATAGGAAAACTTTTAATAATTTTTTCCCCATTTATGTTGAGCCTGTGACTAGCAGCAAAAGTAGGCGAGACACTGGGTTCCACGGAACCCTTACGAATTTTTAAGTATTAGCATTCAAAATTTCTGCACTGGTTCTGTTATAGTTCCTAGGTTATCTTGACATACGTCTAGAAATTGACAAATGAGAGCTTAACATAATGACAAAAGACTTTATTTTCAGTTTTTAATTTTTAATTTTCATTTTTATGCCCCCGCCTCAGCAGAGGGGGCATTAAGTGTTACCCTTGTCCGTCTGTCTGTTCGTACGTCCGTACATTCGTCCCAAAATTGGTTTCCGTTTTCTAACTTTAGTTTGCCTCAACCAAATGGTATGAAACTTATACACAATGCTTATTACCACATAACACAGATCAAGTTTGAATTTTGGTGGTGTCACTTTTACCTGTATAGAGTTATGTCCCTTACCAAATGGAAAAATTGATGAATTTTTCGTTTCCGATTTCTAACTTTAGTTTGCCTCAACCAAATATTATGAAACTCATACACAATGCTTGTAACCACAAAACTCAGATCAAGTTTGAATTTGGGTGGCATTACTTTTACCGTTCTAGAGTTGTGTCCTTTTATAACGTTATATGCAAGTGGGGGCATCATCTGTTTCCCATGGACACATTATTTATTTATTTATATAACATTCCAGCAGCACCTGCATATGGAGTCTTCTTCTACCGCTGCTTTTAAATTTGAACTTGTCCGAAACCGTTCTCCAAAACCGCTTGTCAGATTAACTTAGGGTTTCACAATATGTTAGACTAACATGTCTAGTGGTGCAATCAGGGTTTTGTTTGTGCAATGGGGTTTATAAAGGGGTACTTTGAGGGGCAAAAAGAAAAGAAAACTATGGGATTTTATTTTTTAAAATTTTCAAATGATTATAAATTGAAAACCGTTTGTGATAGACACAATCTTTTTAATTGAAAATGTTCTAAATGATAAAGCCCATTAAATGAAATACAGGGTTAGTCCCCAGGGGTTACCCCCACCCCCTGCCATTTAAGAAAGTTCTAATATCTTATAAGTGGTCAAGATCCCCACCCCTAAACCATATATATTCTGGTTTGTCATGCTAAGATGGTTTGAATGATATACAGGGTTAGTCCCCAGGGGTCATCCTGACCCCCTGCCATTTGAGAAAGTTCTAATATCTTGTAAATGGTCGAGATCCCCACCCCTAAACCATATATATTCTGGTTTGTCATGATAAAGCACATCAAATGAAATACAGGGTTAGTCCCCAGGGGTCACCCCCACCCCCTGCCATTTAAGAAAGTTCTAATACCTTGTAAGTGGTCAAGATCCCCACCCCTAAACCATATATATTCTGGTTTGTCATGCTAAGATGGTTTGAATGATATACAGGGTTAGTCCCCAGGGGTCATCCCGACCCCCTGCCATTTGAGAAAGTTCTAATATCTTATAAATGGTCGAGATCCCCACCCCTAAACCATATATATTCTGGTTTGTCATGATAAAGCACATCAAATGAAATACAGAGTTAGTCCCCAGGGGTCACCCCCACCCCCTGCCATTTAAGAAAGTTCTAATATCTTCTAAGTGGTCAAGATCCCCACCCCTAAACCATATATATTCTGGTTTGTCATGGTTTGAATGATATACAGGGTTAGTCCCCAGGGGTCATCCCGACCCCCTGCCATTTGAGAAAGTTCTAATATCTTGTAAATGGTCGAGACCCCCACCCCTAAACCATATATATTCCTATTTGTCATGTCTCGATCATTTGAATGACGTATATGGTCGGTCCCCAGGGGTTCCCCCCACCCCCAATGTTCTAATATCTTGTAAATGGTTGAGATCCCCACCCCTAAACCATATATATTCCTGTTCGTCATGTAATGAACATTTGAATGACGTATAGGGCCAGTCCCCAGGGGTTCCTCCCCACCCCAATGTTCTAGTATCTTGTAAATGGTCGCGATCCCCACCCCTAAACCATATATATATTCTGGTTTGTCATGCCAAGATGATTTGAATGATATACAAGGTTAGTTCCCAGGCATCACTAATGCATATAACTTTACTGGACCAAACCAATTTTCACTGGACGTTGCCCAATGTCAGGCGACCCTGGGAATTACGAATTATGGGAGCTTCGTTTGGGAGACTTCGTAACAGCATCCTGTTACAATCATTTCTTGTTTCATTTGACTTAATATTCCAGGGCTAACTTTTCCTTTGATTTACTTGATATACAGTTCTGTTTACACAGAAGCTATTGAACCAATGGTTTCAATGGGAAAGTTTATCTTTTTGAAAGTTTTAAGGACACCATCATAAATGACCATTCTCGTTTCTCGTTTTTATATAGATTAGACTGTTTGTTTTTCCGTTTGAATGGTTTTACACTAGTAATTTTTTGGGGCCCTTTATAGCTTGCTGTTCGGTGTGAGTCAATGCTCCGTGTTGAAGGCCGTACCTTGACCTATAATGGTTTACTTTTATAAATTGTAACTTGGATGGAGAGTTGTCTCATTGGCACTCATACCACATCTTCCTATATCTATGGATTTGATCCACTTGTTAAAGCCGCAATCCTATTTTATGACATCACTGAATATGACTGAAAACTCATCAACAATATTTGGCTTAATATTATTTGGTACACCAGACACATATTTTGTCTACATAAGACTTGTCAGTGGTGCTTGAATTCAAAAGTTGGAAGGCCAAATCAAATCTGAAGTTTAAGAGCACTGAAAAACATAAATTCCAAAAAATTTGTGTCAAAAAAAGCAGTCTATGTCTGGAGGTAGAAAAACCTTAAGTGTTCGAGTAGTTTAGCATTTTATAAACAGTAAATATATAGAAATTTAACGTCTTATAAACCGTAAATATATAGAAATTGAATGTTTTATAAACTGTAAATATATAGAAAATGAAAGTATTAATGATAATTCATGTCAACACAAAAGTGCTAACAACTTGGCAGGTGATACCTTCAGGAACTAATGATCCACCAACTGTGACATTGACCCAGTGGTTGTAAAAACACATCAGAGATACCATACTTATAATTTGTACGCCAGGAACTGCTAAGCCTTCATGAGATCACCCCCAGTTTTTGTCCCGCGCAAAGCGTTGCGAGGGACATAGAAATACTGGGCGTCTGTCCGTCCATCCGTGCCTCCATCCATCCAGTCTTGTTAACGCTCTCGCATGTACAATTCTTGCCAGATTTTTATTGTCGAGCCTGCGACTTTTGTCGCAGAAAGCTCGACATAGGGATAGTGATCCGGCGGCGGCAGCGTTAGCTAACTTCTTAAAAGCTTTATATTTTAGAAGGTGGAAGATCTGGATGCTTCATACTTTGTATATGGATGGCTCATGTTACGAAGTTTCTGTCAGCCACATGTCCAATGTCCTTGACCTCATTTTAATGGTTCAGTGACTACTTGAAAAAAAAGTTAACATTTTTTGTAATGTTAAATTCTCTCTTATTATAAGTAATAGGATAACTATATTTGGTAGGTGCGTACCTTGCAAGGTCCTCATGCCCCTAAGACAGTTTTCACTTGACCTCGACCTCATTTCATGGATCAGTGAACAAGGATTAGTTTTGGTGGTCAATATCTCAGATACTATAAGTAATAGGTCTAGTATATTCGGTGTATGGAAGGACTGTAAGGTGTTCATGTCCAACTGGCAGGTGTCATCTGACCTTGACCTCATTTTCATGGTTCAGTGGTTATAGTTAAGTTTTTGAGTTTTGGTCTGTTTTTCTTATACTGTATGCAATAGGTCTACTATATTTGGTGTATGGAATGATTGTAAGGTGTACATGTCTAGCTGGCAGGTGTCATCTGACCTTGACCTCATTTTCATGGTTCAGTGGTCAAAGTTTAGTTTTTGAGTTTTGGTCTTTTTTTCTAATATTATATGCAATAGTTCAACTATATTTGGTGTATGGAAATATTTTATGATCTATATGTCAGTCACGCAGGTTTTATTTGACCTTGACCTCATTTTCAAGGTTCATTGTTCAGTGTTAAGTTTTTGTGTTTTGGTCTGTTTTTCTTAAACTTTAAGCAATAGGTCAACTATATTTGTTGTATGGAAGAATTGTTAGCTGTACATGCCTGCCTAGCATGGTTCATCTGACCTTGACCTCATTTTCATGGTTCATTGGTCAATGTTTAATTTACTTGGTTAATGTTAAGTTTATGTGACAGTTGTAATAAAGCTTTATATTTAGGACTATCAACATAATATCAATGATTAGTAAAGAAGGCGAGACATTTCAGCGTGTGCACTCTTGTGAAACTTATATCATAGGTTTATATCAGCAATGTCTTGGATGAGTTCGAAAATCAGTGCTGATCAATTAT